TGTGAGACTGGTCTTCGTCTGGCCTCTACCCGTTGACCTTTCAGGCATGATTGGATCTCCGGCTGTGAGAAACCATCCTGTGTAGCTCGCAGGGTCATGGAGGCACGCAAGCCATCACACCGCGTCAAGGTGCAATCTCGTCGTGATGGATAATATGTCAATAAGCATTATCAAATTAACTTATGGTATCCTACATATAATACACACGTTTAACTATATTCTCAGACGATTATGTTGGCACATGCGTCTTACTTACCAGTAGTCTACATCTAAATGATTTTTTGTCATTGGAGGGTGACTGTCGTACAAATCTGCAATACTATGGGTTTTATCCTAGGGAAAATTGACAAGCGAAAAAACCACAAACATTGAAATTAATTAGAAAGAATTTTTGGGAAAAATCATGTCAGGTCAGGTTGCACAGGACTAAATATGGCCACGGCCAATCCAGCGGCCAGAATTCCTTCGATGATATGTTCACTATGTGGGCACTCAGCTCTGCTGCAGTAAGAATGAGAAATAAGGTCTCATCTCACCAAGTTGGTAAGTGAATTGTAAGACGTGAGCGTTCCATTACGTGCACCAATAAAAAGAATGGCATTCTAAACATTTGGCACGCCTGCACTCGTCTACGCTGCCAGAGAGGGTAATAGTTCCACCCATCGCTTATCAAGTGCAGTATTAAAGGCCTGTACTATTTGGAGGTCGACTATTTCCTTTGGAAGCCGGTTCTAACTATCGAGTACCTGGGGGCAACTGTCGATCAGGTCTACCGATTATCCTATTGCTGAACGGTACGTACCTCACACGCGGTTTGATTTTTAAAGTGCTGCTGACTGCAATCCGTTTTCAAGTGCTAAGTGGAATATCTAACGATATTCCGCATCAGTGTCATTGCCTTAGTTTCAACTGAGGTAATTTTTTTACGTTGTGACCATTTAAAAGGTCACTCCACAATCTTTTTGGTCAGGTATAAGAACTGAAGTCCTTTTGCTTTTTGCACGGTTTTATTGTTTACTGTCCACGACACTTTTTCGGTTCTATTTTATTTTTTATAGTGTGAAATAAGCCCTTTGTGTTTAAATTTGCAATTTATATGGTAATGTCTAGCTATAAAGTTGCAAATCAGTGTGGTAAATACAGCAAGCATGCTGCCGAGAGTATACAGTGCGATCGTCGTCACCTCTGGTACCATCAAGGGTGTGCGAAGTTATCCAGGAAGGCATACAAACGGTATACGAAGCACAAATCTCTGAAGTGGATTTGTGATCACTGCATAGCACTAACCGAAGAATGCTCGCGCATTCTCGACTGTTAGGTGAGAAGAAAGCACCGGGGCCTGCACAGCCTAAAGTGCTACCCATCTCGAGAAAAGCCGAAAACTATCTGAACCAAAGAAAGATGAAAGGGTATAGAAACTTCGGTGTAAAACGCCGAAAACGAAAACGGAGGAGACGACAGAGCTGAAAGACATAGGCTTAAGGTTGGAGCGCCTAAAAAGGAGCTGGCTATCATGAATCAGACCAGTCATTCTATTCTAGGTCGGGCGAAGAACTTACTGCTCCATAACTGCGCTAAGCCCACGATCAGAGATGGCGGGTCTCGCCGTGAGATAGACAGCAGGCATGTGCAGGATGTTCTTCGCTATAGCAATTACCCCAGACAACGGTGCACTGGTTTCCAGGCCTCCTTTTCCGACTGTAA